TGGAAAGCTCAACCTTTGAAGGTCTAATCTGTTCCCTGTGTCAGTATGTCTTTGGTCCTTCTATGTCCTTTTTGGGCCATTAGCACCTTTCTGGCATAATTCTATGCTTTAAAATTTCTCTCTTCCATTTATTCAGCCCTAGATTAAGTACTGGCAAATTTCATGTGGCCATCTTCAACAAAGCTGTTCCAGACTGAAGAATATTATTTTTCTTTCATTTTCTCCCCTATATAACAGGCACCATGCTCATTATTAATTCCATTCACTCATGACCTCCAATTACTCCTCAGAAATGAAGAACAAAATACCTGTTAACAATGATTTCACCATCCTCCATTTTTTAAAAGTTCATTAGTAAGAACTGCTTCATCTACAGAGCAACGTCACTGGGGTGCAGTTTCATCTCACCCTCATAGGTTTCCATCCTGACCACGTTAGCTAATGGCTACCACAGTCCCGAATCATCTCTTGGCTTGGCAGAGTGCATACAAGAAACAAGAGGTTGGGGAAAAGGTTTTTCTATCTTTCACGGGCCTCTAGCACTTCATCCAAAGAGGTAGAGCCTCTCAATTGCTTTCTGACTTGCACTGGCCAAAATTGGGCTCCACAAAACTTAGATCAAAACTCTCACAGGCAGCCCTAAGCCTTTTATGGGTCAACCCACCAGCCACAAGCATGTTTTCCAAATTAAATGAGGAACTTTAATACAGAAAGGAGCTGCTTACTGAGTAGAGAATTGTGTCTGACACAAATCACCAAAAAGGCTGAGGGAGACACCACAAGGTGTCCAGGAGTCTCCCCTTTTGTCTGCTTTCCTCACTTGCTCCTTTCTTTCTGCACTTCCTTCTTCACTACGACAGAACATTTCAAAAACTCATCCTTTCTGTAGTAAAGTTCCTTAAGGAATATAATCCTCAGGAAGGAAGTTAAGAAAATAAATCAGAATACAAAAACATCTGGGTTTCTCAGATGGTGTATAAACCATTCCAGCTCTGCTTTATTTAATTCTAGACTATTCCATTAGTTCAATGGACAGTTGATTCTGTAAAATTATGTTCCCCAGACTCTCCATCTTTCAAGATGGGTTTGATTCAGCATCTATTGAGAGCCTCTGAACACCTATGAACAGTTACAAATAGAAAGCAACATTAAAGCTGGGCGGTGATGGTGCAAGCCTTTAATCCCAGCCCCAAAAAAAAAAAAAAAACAACAACAACACTGAAAACTCCAGAAAGAAATATTTAATAATATAAATATGTTTTTTTCTATGTTTTGATTCTTGGGAGTAGCTTTTGTAGAGCGAATCCTGACCTCCTTTCAAATTATCAATCTTTAAACAACCACTAAGCTCTTCTTCTACTTGCCTGTCATTCTAATGCCACCGTTTGCTTCATTTTTCATCCCCTTTTTAACAGTTACTCAATTGCTGCACATACTCAGTTATTCCTATTTTGTAAGATGGAGAGATGGACTACTTCCAAGTGTCTGTACTGAAACACTAGACATGCAACTCCTGCTGCAAGGAAAACTGACTTTAATTATATGATTTTTGAAAATTTCTCTCACAGGCACTATTAAGTGAAAAATATAACAGACAGTATCACTCAGCCCCTTACTGTTCATACATACTCACATACAGCATGTACACTATGTCACCGCTACAAATAGATTTTGGATGGCAAGGAATATTGTTGATAGCATAGAAACTTATGCTGGCAAAGTTCAAGATAGTAATATTTTACCTTTTACCATTATATGAATTCTATAAGTTCATGGAAGAAAAAGAACAATTGTTTGCTATTTGTTCACTGGGTATACTCAAACAGCTCATTGCCAAAAAGGAGTCTATAGAGACAAAATATGGCTATTAATTAGGTGGTGCTATTTTGGGGCTTATGCCTGAGATTTTAGTAATATTTAGATTCTAAGTCATCATGTTTTCCACATGCTAACTCATCATGTTATTGACACAGTTCTTCCACATTAGTATCTCCCCATTACCCACTGCATGCATGTGTTTAATACACTGGCACACGCAAATATGAAGGTGCCTCCTTATCTCTGCAAACCTTTGAAATGTTAGGATCAAACATCCCTCACCTACCCTCACAGTTCAGTGTTGTGATATTTTATTTGTGCTTTAATGAATAAAGCTTGCCTGGAGATCAGAGGAAAAAGTCAACCATTTTTTTATAAGTAAACACAGAAGTCAGGCAATGGTAGCACATGCCTTTAATCTTATCACTTGGGATGCAGGGATCTGTATGGATCTCTGTGAGTTCAAAGCCACACTGGGAACAGAGCCAGGTGTGGTGGCACATGCCTTAAATTCCAACACTAGTTAACCATGGAGGTCTTGAGGTCTGTACAGACAGACAGGAAGTGACAGAGCTGGGCAGGAAGAGGAAGTGATGTAACTGAACAGAGAGAGCAAATCAGATGGCAGAACAGCAAGGCATACAGGCGTGGATAGACAGGAAGAAGTATTTCGCTCTTTGGAAACTGTGGAGTTGGTGAGGTAAGGTTAGCTGTGACTTTCCCTATTTCCTTGATCTCTCAGGTTTTCACCCCCATATGTGGCTCCAAATTTTTTATTTAATAAGACCACTTAGAAATTCATCTACAGTTCAATTATCCCTGTAAGTCTTAAATTGTAATTATAATTACTTAAATGTTATGAAAACTTCTAAATATAAGTTTATAACTCCTGCCTGCTTTCCTGCTCTGAGTTTTCTGATCATATATCTACCTCCATTCTAGGTAAGCCCTACATTTGCCGGGAGTAGCCTCGATTCAGACAAGCCTGCACTCAATATTTTATCCTATAAATTTTCTATGTTCACATAGAGAGTTTCAAAATCCATTTAATAAACTGAGATGGAAGTTTCAATATTCTTAAAATCACATTTACATGATCTCTGAACACATTCCCAACAAACATCAGAAGTATCTACTTTTGAAACCATCCCAAGACATCTATCCTGTAAGTTCTGATTCCCATGAACCTAGTTCAACTCATCACTCTTCAACAAGGTTATCTTAGTCTGATTTTCTGTTATTTAACTAAGAAACCACAGACTTATAACACACAAAGAATACAGGTGTATTCAGCTGATACTTTAAGAGGTCCTGGATAAGTGGCCACATCCGATAACTTTCTTGATGCTGGGGACTCTGCATAGTCCGGAGTTCTATGGAAGAGTTGAGAATCATAGGGCAAGAGGATTTCAGTACACAGAGTCTAGCTGATAAGTAATAACAGACACACTCAGATAATGATCCATTAATATACTAGTCTAGTCATCTTCTATAGGTCCCAACTGGCCACACCTCTCAATGGTTCACACTAAGGATTATATTTTAACATGAATTCAAATTATGGGCTTTTGTGAAAGTTTTAAAAATTAAAATCCCTGCCTCCAAGGACTGCTATATTCCACATCTATTCACTGAATATGTATTGAGAACCCTATAATGTGTTAAGATTTAGGCTCAGAAAAACTAAAGATGCCTCCTCTTCAATGAATCCAGACACTAGATCTGGAAAAAAGGTGACAACCCAGCAGCAAATCTTCCATACACAGAATGACTCATGGAAGATGAAATATGAGCAGAATGGTCAGCAAAGACCTCACTGAGGAGGTGACATTTAGAAAAACTGAGCAAAAAGCACAGAGAATATCAAAAAGATAGCAGAGACACACCCTTCACAAAAGAAACTTCAAGGATATAAGATGGGAGGGTGGATAAGATGGAAAGGAAGAGATGAGTAGACATGACATCAACTATGAGATACTATGTAAAGTTTTAATCTAAAATGAAACAAAAGTAGAAGTCAGGGAAGTGTTTTATGCAAAGAAGTAACATGATCTAATTTATACAATGATCTGATTTATGTATTTTTTTTCCAGTTACCAGATTGTTTCCTTATCAATCTGCTTCAAACACTTCCTGAATGAAGTGACTCAGGTGACACACATTCCAGATGGCTCAAGGGAACCCTGGTTTGCTTGTACTGTCCCAGAATAACGGCTAATACATTCCCCTCTAACTTTCCCAAGAGTCCTAATGAAGGCGTTTACATGTTGAATGTAATGATAAAGAATACAGTAAAACATCCTTTAATTGTTATGCAGCGCCTTTCTGAGCTTTCTGAAATCAGCTCTCCTTTCTTCTTGTCATGGCCAACTTGCTTACAGGAGTTCTGGTTGCTCCAAAAGGCAGTGCTACTGGGGTTGTGAATGGGTGCATACTCCCTACTGTCCCTCTTGGCTCACACTTCTGCGGTTTGCTAGGTGCCCGGCAACATTTTCATTGACAAGTACACAGACCTGGAGGACCAGAGCTCTGAAACCTTCAATGAAATCAACCAGGATGAATGGCTTCCTTGGCATTTTGTCATCCTCTCTATTGTGATACATCACCGCTGGGCTAATTTTAAGTCTGTTTCTCCCACGAGAATGGTAGGTGATCAAGAGAGAAAAAATAGTACCTCATCTTGCATATTTTGGGGCCCTAATTATTCACCGGAGCTGGTACTTTATAAATGACAGCTATTATATAAAAGAAAAATACAACAGAATTTAAGAATGAGATTTTAGAATGAATTTCTTCGGTCAACCCCAAACATGCTTGTTACTGAGTGGTAGCATGGTTGGCTCTAAGATACGGAAGGCCTTAGGTTCAATCCTCATTATAGTCATTACACAATAACAACAATAATAAACAACTATTTTCACATCTGGAGTACTTTAATTCTGTTAATCTCCTAGTCTAATGTGGTTCCACTCATTAAAAGGTGACAATAACATGTAATGATTAACTCAAAGTCCAAAAAAAAAAAAAAAAAAAAAAAAAAAAAAAAAAGCACAAACAAAGTAACAAGAATTGTATGGGGCAAAAAGCAGAAATAAACATTCTCAGGTTTTTGTAATAAATTTCTAGCAAATTCTGGTAATAATAGGTGTATAAATTACTGACAAGTGATTTCACCTACTCACCATTCTTAAGCAATCCTGAAGAAATCCTACTCAGGAACAGTTTTTGACGTAATAGCAGAACTTCAGCTTCTAAAGCTTCAACTTTTGATTTCCATTTGGACTCCTGCTGGGTCACCAAGGTGGCAAGGTGCTCTGTATATTCTCTGCTGCTTCTGTCTGCTGGTTTTGAGTGGATAATCGCCAAAGCCAGCGCCAGCTTTGAAGTTTTCAAATACCATGTCTGAATATCCATCTTGGCTTTTGTCCCTACCATATAATGAAAAGAAGTTACAAAATTTCCATTTAACATTCACAGAGTATTTTATTTGAACAAAATTGAACTTCCAGAGTAGTGCTAATTAAAAGTTTATAATTATAAATTGGTTCTAATCAACAGAAACAAAATTCTCAAGAATAAAAAAAAAAAAAAAACTAGTAGGAGACCTCATGAGTTTTCCCCGTCTACTTTAGCATGTCTTTTGTTGTCCTTGTTCAATTCATGTTTAGGTAGTCATATTAGTAAGTGTAGCTTCTGACATAACTAGGAAAGACAATCTCAGAGTCCTCAACTAGACACAAACAACTATGGGAAAGTAAGGAACACTGAGAGTAGAAGAAACACTCTTCCCCAGTGAAGATCACAACTGGTTATGCAATCCAAATGGTCAGCCCTAGAAACATACACAGGAGTAACATTATATAGGCTGAGCAGGCTGTATTTAGCAATATGTACACATAGACATATATGCATGCAGCAACAATTAATGAATAAGAAGGCCATAAATTTAAAAGAGAGCAAGGGAGGGGTATATGGGCAGTTTTGGAGGGAGAAAAGGAAAGGAGAAAACAATGTAATTATATTATAATCTCAAATAAGCAATAAAAAATGTTTCAAATATTTGCCCTGTTGAAGTTTGATCCTGCACTTCCAACTATTCCAATTGCTGCCCTGAGTATACGTTTCCAAACCATTAATATCTCAGTCTTACAATATGAATACACTGAAAGGGAGAACGTGATGCATGATCACCCTTAGTTTAATTCATTAGTTTAATCAACATCTCCACTGAAGGGTAAGTACATTGTGGCTTCCACCATATTTTACTGGATTACCACAGAGGCTTTGAACATAAAACATACTATAAAAATGTTTACTGTGTAGTAAAAAAGTACAGTAGCTGCTCATGCCTGCAGTTTCCACTTTCATTACATACATTCATCCTACTTTCAGATCGCAGCCATTTGAATAAAAACTTACATATATTTTGAACATGCACAGATTGTTCTTCTTGTTATTAATCAATGTCATGCAACAACTATGCACAGTATTCCCATGCTTAAGTATTATAATGATGATTTGAAATACACAGGATGATATACATAGATTATATGTGAATAGTAAACCATTTTATATTAAGGACTTGTGCATTTAAATATCTTTATTGTAGTCAGAAATTTTCCTGTGTCCCACCCAGTCTTGTAGCCACTCAAGACCCAAATAAACACACAGAAGCATATATTAATTATAATTGCTAGGCCATTAGCTCAGGCTTATTACTGACTAGCTCTTACAATTAAACTCAGCCCATTTCTGTTAATCTATATGTTGCCATGTGTTCCGTGGCTTTACATGTGTGCCATTACATGCTGCTCCCTGGACAGTGGGATAGCATCTCTCTCCTATGCCTTTCATATATAGATATATATATATATATATATCTGGATTTCTAGCCTGCCTCTAAGCTGCCTTGCCATAGGCTAATACAGCTTTATTTATTAACCAATCAGAGCAACACATATTCACAGCATACAGAAAGACATCCCACAGCACTTTATATTTGATGGTATCCTAGAAACTATTTCCCCAAAGCTCAGAGATAACCATGGATTGTTTCAGAAAATTCAGTGTGTCTGGTTACCACATTGATACTAACAACACAATTTCACATTATAACTTATATTTTATTAACGTCAATTTCTCAGGCCTATCTTCCACTACGGTAGGGCTGCACTACCCAAGTTCTTTCCTGTTCAAATCTCCGCTAATGCATTTTAACCAGTTATGATGCCCTAACGTCCTTATAGCTGCCTAAGACTCATCTGTGTATCCTTCCTGGATAACCCATAAACCATTGATTCAGTGCACTTTAAAATGATCTGAGAATGAATCAAACTCCTCAGATTTAACCCCACCCACAGTCACATGCACCTATCTGATAACCTGCCATTGGAAAATAAAATGGCACACTGTGATGAGTATTCTAATTGTGCATGTACATGTGAAATCCAGAAATCAATGTTGGGTATCTTCTTTATCAATTCCCCACTTATTTTTTGAGATAGTCTCTCTCACTGACCCAAGGATCTTGCCCATTAGTTAAGCAAGCTGGCCATTAAAGCCCAGGGATCCTCCTGTCTCTGCCTCCCCAGCATTATGATTACAGATGCACACTACCACACCTGCTGTGTAGATGGGTCTTAGGGATCTGAACTCGAGTCCTCATGTCTGATAGCTCAACAATCTCCCCAGCCTTTAATGATTCACTAACATTGGGCTGAACACAGAACTCTGTGTGCAATATGCTTTTCACAGTGCTGTTTTTATACTGAAAACTGGGGTGGACAACTGAATAGTTGAGCATATAAAGTCAGGATTAGAAATGTGACTGTTTCTTAGTCATCAAAAAGTAGATACTAGTAGGAAAGGCTTTATTTGGACGCAAAAGTATTAATGATGCACTGACCTAAGTAAATGAGAATACGAAAATCTAAATATAGTAAGGGCCCCAGTTACATAAAAACAGAAACACAAAAGCTGTAAATTAGTACTTACATGGAACTGTAGAATTACTGATTTTTATACTTACATTTGTCTGTTATCCTCGTTATTCTCAGTGACCACGTATCAGATTATATTAAATTATTAAAGAATGCATTTCCAAAATGAAAGCACAGTGACACTTTGGAATCTTTCACCACTGCTGAATACAGACAACAAAGACTACATACTAGTGAGATGGCCATGCTGATTAGAATTACAACCCCACTAATTTTGACTTTGGCAACCGTCATTCCACTTACTGGTTCACCAGCCATCTGTCGTGTCAGGAATAGGGCTAAGGCCACAGACACCTGTTGCTAATCTCAGAGAAGCACCCTGCATACAGATCACAGACACACAGATGATCTTCCCTGAAGAAGGAACCTTGCTTGTATATTAACAATATCGACTCCCCTCCTCCACATACATATACACGAACACACGAACGAACACACACACACACACACACACACAACCCACTAGAACCTATTTAAGTTTGTTTCAGTTAGAAAATTTTCTCAAATGCAGGTGTGAATAGTGGGAAATAACCTAGAAAGAAAAACTGGAAAAATAGTTTGGTAACATCAGAGTGAAAAGTTTTCCTAGATCATAAAAACAGCCAACTCCCCCAACATCTTGCAGAAATACTTAATTGATTTAAGTCATTTGATTGAATTCATGTTCTGATTTTTAGACTTTTTATGAGATTTGTCTTTAAACCATGATATCATTAATCAGAAAAAAGATCAAACTGCTAAGTCCTTTGGTTTGTTAATAACTCAGGGTCTGAACATTAATTAGGATTGAATCACAAATGAGCAGAAACAATTGCTCACAGAGATGCCTGGTGCAGAGTTGTGGGGTATAAATCAAACTGAGAACACATACAGACTACAAACTACAACCAGACAGGGCTCCTTGGGGTGTGTGTGTGTGTGTGTGTGTGTGTGTGTGTGTGTGTGTGTGTGTGTGCGCGTGCGCGCGCTGTGTCTTTTAATGTTCTGGTAGGCATACAATTCTATTTGCCCTAAAATCTTATGAAAGAAGTACAAGCTTCTATAACATATAAAATATACGTTTGGCCTTTGTCCCCAGATTTTGACACAAAACTCTTGAACCCCTGGGATTAGAAACTCCCAAGTGGTAATAGATACTTATATTCTAATGATGTAATTCCCAGCATGTTTCCAAATGGGAACCGAGTGCCAGAGACACCAACCATAATTAGACAGTTGGAATTGTCATTAACAACTCCCATCTCAACATCAGGGGAAGAGCAGAGACAGAAGACGGGAATAATAATGGGTCTTGCCTACCTACTGACACCTAGAGCAACAAATAATTAAAAAAAATTAAACAATAGAGAATAGAGAGATCCCAGGCTAATAAACACATCAAGAGGATAGGAGGATACTGCATACAAAATGAGTATCACAGCTTTGTGCATTCCACACCACAGGGGCCATTAGTGTCTCTTCCATTCATTCCTGGCATGAATCTGTTGTTGTTTTTTCACTCTTTGATCTCTGAAGGGCCTGCCACCCAGCTCCCAAATAAATACACAGAGAATTATTCCTTCTTATGAATGCCAGCCTTAGTTTGGCTTAAATTATCCCAGCTACCTTTTGCCTCTGGTCTTTATCTTTCTGTATTCTATATACCTTTCTTTCTTTCTTACTCTGTTGATGGCTGGGTGGCTGGGTGGCTGGCCCCTGATGTCCTCCTCTCCTTCTCCTTTCCCCACTGCTCCATCTTCTCTTCCCAGATTTCTCCTTCTATGTATCCACTCCACCTGCCAGCCCTACCTATTCCTCTCCTGCCCTGCTATTGGCTGTTCAGATATTTATTAGACCAACCAGGTGTTTTACACAGGCACAGTAACACACCTTCACAGAGTTAAACAAATGCGGCAGAAAAGAATTCAACACATCTTTGCATCATTAAACAAATGTTCTACAGCATAAACAAATGTAACACACCTTTAACTAATATTTCACAAAATGAATCCTTTGTGGCACACTATAAACAGCATTATTTACTTTCTGATTAGTAGATTATAAAATCCCTTATTTAGTTGGTTAGGGCACAGGTAATCTGAAGATCCTGCATCAGGCACCTGAGTCTTTGTAACTGAGCCAGAACACCTGTACAGTCTAGCACTGTCTTTGGGTTACAGGGGTCAGAAATGAACTGAATTATCAGACACCCCATTGATATCTAGAGAATTAGAGAATTTGTTGTTGTAACTGGAAAGAACCTTAGCTTCCTAACTATATAGAGAGAGCCTTTTTAAATTCAACTTATACCCAAATAAATATAGTAAATAATTAAAATGAACATTTAATGTTCCCCAAGTAAGTCTTTTGTGTCTTTGAATTCTTGGTAGTTTGAAATATAAAGCTTGATACATACATATATATATATATGTATATATATGTATGTATAT